CTGCACCGTGTTTCATGCGGCTTTGTGCTACGCACCTTTTTGACGAGGTCTCTGGCATCGATTGTCAGGTACGGCGGCAGGCTGAGTTTACACTTCAAGATCTTATCGATGGTCTTCTTCCTGTTTTCCGCCGTGAACGGAGGCTGAAAACAGAGTGCGGGATTCAGTCAGCGGTTACTAATAGGACATTAAAACTGCTCGTTAATCGATTCTGTGAGCACAGAAGTCAAACGCATTATTCAACAGCAGGGTGGCTAAACTGAGGAAGAACAGGAGAGCCCACTGGTGGGAAATAACACAGCAACTGTCAGCCTGCACCACCAGTTTGGCCTCCTGTGACTTTTTCCTCGTTTGATGTTGCTGTTCTGACATACTGGTGGATTTTCTTCCTGGACCAGTGCGGCCCTCTGTAGGAAAACTAGGGGAGCACAACTGATCCGAACAGCAAACACGAGGAGTCTGAGATCCTGCATTTTTTATTACTTCTGAACATTTGATGAAGAAAAATGTCCGACTGTCTCGTCACAGTCCAAATGCTCACCATCAAGATGTCACTGCTTAATAACCGGATTTCCCAGAAGCTGAGGACAAATTTAAATCAGGTACAGGCTCATCGTCTCGCGCGCTTCTGGACCGTTTTCAGCTCGGCTGCTATTCGCAGAGCTTCTACTGGAAGTGCTGTTCTTGCACTTGTGCCTCCACGTTGTGCGTGCTGTGCTAAAACAGAGATCCTTTAACTTGATTTTCATTTTCTGGGAAATGGATGATGTCACGGTGAGCCAAATCGGGGGAAGAGCTCAAGTGACGAGTTATTATTTCCATGTGCTGGCACAAGATGGCAAGGTTGAGGCCGTTTCCTCTGACTGCTGATGCATCAGGACGTGCTCACAGGCTCAACTTATGGTGCACAACCTCATGAATGCGAGGAAAAAAGCACGAGTAGACTCCTGGTCTCGCTCCCGGAAACTGTGGACAGTTCAACTGAAAACAGCTCGGTCGTATCCAGAGAGCCAGCTGTTTATTTTTGCTCTCTGCAGAGGTCATCGCAGGACTTCTGACGATTGATCGAAAACCTGCAGCTGCACTGAAAGCCGACTGAAACATACGAGGAGATGACTGTGAATCTGGGAAGCCTGTTCTTTGAACCTCCTGATCATATTTATACTGCTGCTGCTGACAGGCAGTTGAGACGTCGCTCCAGCAATCCAAGTTTCGTGTACAGAGGTGTGAATCCGTCGCTTGTCTAACCACCACTTTGTTTTTAATAACCATTTTAGCTGAAGTATTGTGGAGCTAAGGAAATAAATATTCTCCCTTAGGGTGTTTGGAGCACACGCTTGCTTCACTGCTTTCACTCTTAAATAAAATACCTTGACTAGAAAATCCGATTTTCAGATTTCAGCCTTCGTCTTTGTAAAGCAAAACTTTAAGAAACGGCCTGAAGGCTCCACAGAAACTGAAACTGCAGGAAGGAGCAGGAAAACCTCGAGGCTCTCTGGATGGTCAGTAAAAGCTCTTCTTTGACTTCCAAAACACCACCTATCGCCCTAAACTAAAAAAAATTGCAGATACTAGCCACAGGGGGCAGTCTTTTATTCTGTTAGGCTGCAGCAACCACTTCTTCATAAAAAGAGAAGCAAGCTTCCTCTTTTTGAGGCGAGCTTTAGGAGGAGGTACAGAGAAAAGCCAGCTTAGCCCTACTGCAGCCTAAAAAACACTCCAGGCTCCAGCTTACCGATCCAGTCATCATATCGTACATGAGCGCCCCGAGGCTCCACCAATCCACCGCTCTGTTGTGACCCGACCTGGTCAGGATCTCTGGAGCCCTGCAAGAAAACAGGC